TCAACAGTGTTCCTGAGTTTTCTTTGTTGTAAAACCATGCCACTAGCACTTGGGTTGTGTAAGAAAGGCTTCACAAGAAATGAGCTGGACGTCTTTTTAGATAGATTACTTTGCATGCCATAAATGCACAATTGTTACGTTTGAAGCAGTTGATCCAGACCCTGGTCCTCAACACAGCCCTTCTGTTGCAGAGAGACCCATTGCATTGCTCATTGGGACTTCATGCACTTCGAATTGGGTACTGCCTATGACATCACCAGAGATGAGTACAAATGCAGTTCCAAGCAAGTCTGTGCCACACTTTAAATATTTTAAAGGATTTTTTTCCTCATTATTCACGTTCTCCAAACTTGTTTGGAAGTCTTTCTGTTCCATTCCTGCATGGGAGAAATCAACCAGCCCTTTAACAGTGACAGAAAGTGTATTACATGTAGTGTAGTTTTACACAGATTTACTCCAGTCTCAGTCCATTGACTGGAGTGACTCAGCACAGAATTGCTCTCTTGGAGAACAAACCTTTGAGAGAACTAGGATGCTATCTAGGACCTGGACTCTAAAGGGAGGCAGTCCTCAGTATTCTTAAACTTGTTATACCTGTGGAAGGTTTTTTTTTGGGGGGGGGGAAGAGTGCAGGGACTAAAATCATATGCACAAGTGAAGTTTTACACTAAATAAACATCCAAGTATTAGATTGTACTTCCAGGGAACTGGCGATATTTCTTGCACTTCTTCGTGCATATAACTGCAGTGTGAACTATGAGAAAGGCTCCCAGAACATTCTTACTGGGTACTGTATAATGAATACGATTAAATGCTCCATGGATGCATCTTGTGGCTTAATTTTTAAGGCTAGTTAGCTGCAGCTCACATGTCCAGAACCACTATTTTAGAGAGAAGCAATGATAGTTAGACTGTTCATCCAACATGAATATTTACCACCCCATCTATGTATTGTATTGGTTAGGTATTTTAAAAAGCTCAAATGGATGTCTCTCCCGCCCTCGTTCATCACAATTTTCTTCTGAGTTCCTCCCCTCTGATTCCTTACAATATTATCCTGTTTTGTTTTGAGTAACAAACAGATGTTGCCCGTGCAACTCATTTGCTGAATAAGGCCTACTTGATGATGTTTAACTTTCCAACAGTTTACTAAAGCCATTTGACCTTTAGCAGAAACAAGGGTAAAATGAGAACGCCGAACAGTGATTTATTCAGGAAAGAATTATTTATATATCTCAAATATGTTTTTCATTAAAAACGATATTTATTTATACCATACATACTTCAAAAACAGTGTTTTGTTTTGTTCCTTAGATATCATTTACCATTTTTTTCCTTTATGTTGGTTCTGCCTTTTCAGTATTTCTTTTAACTTGGTTCCCAATAGCTTGGGGATTTTGTAGAGACAGTGCAGTACAGATAACACTACAAAGGTTCATAAGTTTGGGAAGAACACACCTTTACTGTTCCATGTTCCCCTTCACAAGCATACCGTACATACGCAGCATAAAGAAAAGCATCTCTCAATTCAATTTATAAACAAAAGTAAGATGGGGGGGGAAGACAAAGCACAAATGAAAAAAATCAAGTTGGCAAATATGGTGGAGGTTTGTGATGTAAACATATTTTTAGACATACTGATGGGTAACCATGTAAATTCTGCGTAGATAACTTTGAGACTCTGGCTCACTATTGGAAAACAAAGGCATCTGGCCTAAAATAAAACATTTCAATGGAATTTTTATTTCTACACACATGGAGATACTGCTTTTTAGAAGGGGAAAAAAACCATGGTGGCATTATAAATCTCCAGTTTACCTACTACTCATTGAGACCTATAGGATTTAAGCTAGTCAGAACTGACTGGTTTCCAATGGATTTAGTCACAAGTACAAAGCTGGATTGATGCCAATGTGTCTATTCAAGAGGAAGGAATCTATCCAGGATAGTTTCCTCAAAGTAAAATTAACAGACAGTAGTGTTAATATCAATATGAAATTAACAGTGATGAAAGTTACGTGAGCGACTTGGAAGCTGAAAAGAACCATGCTTTTCTGGTTTTGCAGTTACAAGAGAGATGTTCTAGGAAAGAAAAACATTCTCTTTGAGTTAGCATTAGACTGTAGGTGGAAATAGTCCTTTAAAAAAAAAAGTGTTATATGATCACACCATAATGGTTTTGGCTGTAGGCTGAGATTAAGTAAATATCATCAGTCCGTCAGTATGCTGTGGTCATGGAGGCTGCCGGTGTGGTTTGCCATGCTCAGACAACATGTGTAAACACTAGAAACAAAAAATTTTTTGGAAGCAACTTCTCCCTGTCTTCCTCCACTGTTTGATCCTCTCTGATGTGCTCTTTCCTAACTCTACTGTAACTCTTGTCTGAAAAAACCAGGTTAGGAAAGTATAAAATACTAAAACAACATTTATTTCAGGGTCCCTCCTCCTTGTTCTTGATTCGTTCAGAGGGGAAGTTACCCATGAAAATGAATAGTACATATTTTACAAGCATTTTAAGTGCTTGTGCCATTAATGGCTTTTGATTGCTTCTACAAAAACACATCTTAATAGTACAATGTTTACATCAGCACGAAGTGCTTGGCCCAAGTCTTCAGTACAGAATATAAACTTTGGTTGGATCCTATGGGAAGACTTTGCAGAAGTAGTTGGTGAGGCAGATTCCCCCCCCCCCCATACTCGCTGTTCTCCAGCAGTCCTCTATGTGCCCTGAAAATTCTCCACTGTTGGCCCCAAGTAAACAGAAAGCACCATAGCATGAAGGCCTGCGGCAAATAAAAGGAATCAGGCAAAATCACTCCACTCTCCATTGTTCACCAGTGGTAGAAAAAGTCGTTTGACAGCAGAAGAGGGTGAAATCCTCCCCAATTCCCACTCCTCCATACAGGCCCCCATGCTGTTGGGTATTTTCTTTATGAAATCTCCACATCCCTTAGTAGAAGATTTTTGAAGTATATAGAAGGCTATGGGGAAAGGTAGGAAAGACCCACTCTGCCAGTTCCGTCTACAAGCTTCTCCATAGGATCCAACCCATTCATTTCAGGAATTTATGTCCATCTCTCAAGTAACCGAGACCCCAATGAAATATTACAGGGGACCCAGAGGTGCTACCCTCCCACCCACCCACCTGCACAGTCAGTTTTTTAAAGAAAAAGAAACGTGCCAGATTTGCATGTGATGTGCATTTTCATACCTTTCGGAAGTTATGGATGGAATTGCATCATAGATTGCTTTTTCTAAATATATCAAGGGCAAGCCTTGGGGTCATGTAGGCTGGTGGCAGCCATTCTATGCACTGCCATTGGAAAGCCCTGGGGGAGAATCATTTTTGCCTTCTTTCCTTTCACCCAGCTACCGTCTGTGAGCCTCAAAATGGTAATGCCCCCGGATTGGAGAGACCTGCATGAATAAAAAGCCATGCAATGTTGATGGCTGCAATGAGGAGGCAGAAGCAGGTAAAACAGCCCTTCCTGCCTGTCCCACTAGTAGTCCACTGATGGCTGAGGGAAGCCAAGATGGGTGAATTTGCTTCTTTCCACTCCTCAGTGCGGCTGATGATGTTGTATGGCTTTCTATCCTTTGGTCCATTAAATCATGGCCTTATCTTTTTGAGGCTCAACGACTGCTGCTGGGGGAAGGGGCTGCATAGAAGCCAGCCCAATGTGTCCTCCATAGCCTTTAGACAAGGCATCACACACCTATTTCCTGAAAAATCATCCTTTCTTAGTTGAAGAAATGCCTCCTTTGTCTCATGTTGTATAACTTTGTTTTTCTTTTTAGGAAAGTTATGAATTTGTTTTGTGGATCTCGAGAGGAAAATGTTTTTTTTTTGTATTCCTTCTTTGCTCCCAAATTCCTAAGATTTTTTTTTCTGGGCAGGCAAAATCTTGGATTGTGGTTATTGTAGCTGATTACATTTTGGTTACTGAAAACTTGTGCAAAGTTGGCAATTTAGTGTTAAGACAAACGCTTCCATTTTGTTCGGAATTCACTGCTCCATACTGACCAGATCACTTTTAACAAAGTGTTTTTTTTTTAATTAATAAGACACTGAAAGTATGGCAATACTTTTAAGGGGGAAAAGGGCATGGATATTATTACACATCCCCACATTGTGTAAGAAAAAAGTGCATGACTGTATTTATGTAATAGTAACAAGACAAAAATAAAATAACCAAACCCTCAAACCTGTATCGGACCTGGTGCTCTAAAGCATGCCAGCACCACCACATTACGCATCTCTAGCAGGTAGTTAAAAAAAACAAGACCTCGTGTTTTCATTTTAAAAAACAAAAATGTGCATTGAAGCTAATATAAATGAATAGAGCTAGCCAGCAAATCATCCCCCCCCTTATCTAACAGCTGGATGTAAATGTAAAGGTAAAAAATAACCCAAAACAAAAAACAAAAAAAGGTAAACCACCATCAATACAATTGTTTTACATCATGGGCCCTCAAGGCTCTATATATACAAGTGTCACAGCCATGCGTAGTTGACGGTTCTTTCAAAGGTTTAAAATACACAAAGACAAGAGAAGCTGTTCTTTTTGTTTGTTTGTTTGTTCGTTTGTTCCTGGAGTGCTTTGTTTCCTTGGGATTTCCATTTGTTTTCTTTCCTTTTCTAAGATGGCAGGCAACAGTCACAGTTAGAAGAAACAGTCTCTTTGGAGATGACCACGTATCTCATAACAAAAGTGGGGCGCTAAAAGGCAAATTCGTTTGTGTTTATTTCCCCCCAACCCCACAATGGAAATACCATCCCAGGTTAAAGAGACTACCTGAACCCACACAAAAAGAAAATCCCTAACCAAAAAAAAAGGAAGGGGGGGGAAGCACCTGGTGTTTTTCAGTTCTGTTACAAAAGAAAAAAAAAGATATATATTTATATTTATATTTTTATATATATATAATAATAGTCTGTAAATAGTCCAAAGAAACAAGGCCCTCTGTGAGAGCCGGCATTTGCCATGTCCATCTTTGAACTAATCTAGTGAAGTGAAGGGAATGTTTTTATGCAGGTTTGGGTTCTGACTGTGCCTATTCCGGCTGCGGACGGAGGAGAACATCATGTTGCATCCAGGGATCTTGCACTTGTGCATTTCTCGTAAGTGCACAGTCTTGTAATGCACTCTGAGAGTCCCCTTGTTGCTGTACATTTTGTGACAAATGTTACACATGATCCCCCCATTGTTCATGGAAATGCTGTTGTACATGTAGGATCCTGGGGCTTCGGCACCCATGCCAATGCCTAGGGCTGGGGCATCAGCTTTGTGTGATGACTCCCCACTGTCACTTGCCCCATCGACATCATCAAGGAGAATCCCCTCGTCGCTCCCTGCATCGGATTCTCTTGAGGAATGGATGCTACCACTGGACTGGATGCTGGATGTGGTGCTGAGGTCTAGCACCATGTATTCTTCTGACATGCCCCTTCCATACCCATTCAGATGGGAATCTTCAGTACCTGCAGGGGAGGACGTATCTTCCCTTAAATCAAACCCCATCTGATGTGGGGCACCATAGAACTTCATCAAAAATTCATCACGGAGATCCTTGCTAAGTGAGGGCTGAGACGTATCCAGTCCCATATCATCCAGTTCTTTGGTCAACAGTTTACGGTGTAGGTTTATGTTAGCGCTGTGTCTGGGAAAGAAAGAGAGAGGGACAAGGGGAAGAAGAAAAACATACAGTGTTTTGATTACATTTACAGTATAACATTTACAGATGAAATCAATTTAGCAATGAGTAATCATCTCAAAAAACAACACTACTGCCCCTTTTCTTGGAAATCCAACCATCCCTGTTTGGACACTCAAATTCCTACAGTATAAGGCAAAATGGCTGCCCCTTCCCCCTGCAAATCCACAATTTTCTTTCAAGTAACTACAATCCTTGTAGTTTGGATTGCATAATATATAGCAGGCTTATCATCATCATATAGCTGTTTTGAGCAATTACTGCATCTCTGTCCAAAAGCATACTCTCTCAAAAGATCTAGGAAGGAGGGAGGAAATCAATGGAACCTCACTAAATGGATTACATTGGACACATTAGTCCACACTTTTAGAGTCTGGGATCATAATTGTAGACACCAGTGGATGGCAAAACGTCTAACAAGTTAGTCTGGTTTTCCCTCTTATCAGGGAAAACTCATATGGATTATTTCTCGGGATTTTAAATTGAATAAGACAGTAAGGTTTTTGAGCCTGATGCATCAGGTGTTTAATAGCTGATCTTGGATAAATTGACCACAGATTTCAAATGAGCAGTTCCTAAGGTACTGGTGGCTGAAAACTGTCACACGTCTGCTTAGAAAGTTCTGCTCAGATATGGTCTTAAGTACAAACCAAATCGTGGGCATCACTATTAACCACTGAGAAGCACATTCTACATTGTTACTGCAGAAATGAAGGAAATTTGTTCTCCATTACTCCCAACAGTTTTTCGAAATTAGCAGCAGATTAACAAATATTGCTGTGTTGTATAACACCGAACCAAGTCTTAGGGGCACACATGTTGATTGCTTTAGTGGCTCTGTTTTGTTTATTTAATTCATTGCTTGTCCCTCCGCACAGGCTGGAGGCAGATGATAATTTTAAAAGAGCACTAAAATTAAAAACAGCCTTCTTGTAACAAACATCATTATCCGTTTAAATGCACAGACTACATGACATTGTGTTAGACTCAGTACAAAACTTCTGCTTGCGCTAGAGCTCCTATGGAAGTGGAACCAGAAGACTGCAGTAGCTGCTGGCACTAAGTCACACTGATCACCACTTGTGCTTCCGCTTGCACAAGATGCTGTATAACCAATTTCCAGGCACTGCAATGTAGAGAGAGGAAAGCACAAGATCTTTCAAAAGCAGAACTCTGCTAAGTCCATTTGTGTATCCATGTGTTTGCAAACTGAGCACCCAGCCCTGCAAGAAGAATTCTGAAGCACTGAGCTTTCTCACTGGAAATGGGGAGCGTGGCCCAGCTTAGTTTGCCAACCTGCTTACTGCCAGCTGCAATTCAGCTGAAAGCTAACAGGAGGGTTGCAAAGCACGGGTAACAGAATGTGGGGTTATCCCCACATGCAGATCTGAGGTGCTCAAGTACACAAGCCATCAGAACATGGATTACTGAACTCTGTTCCAATTGCACTGTAAACCCTCAAACTTAGTGCAGAGCCAAGTCCAAGTGTCAGGTGCCAATTGCACATGTGCATAAAAGCAGATGTCCAGCACCTCCTAGCAAACCATTTGTACAATTATTTTCATGGGGGGGGGGGAGATTACTTAAATCAGCTTTTTCTATGCATGCTTGCTTGTTTTGCACAACCACATGCTTGCAGCCTGAGACAGCAGTGGGGGATTTGATTTCCCAGCCACATCAAAATCAATCATCCACCTCTTATAATCCAAATGGGGGCGTCACCAGATTCCTCATGTTCAAATCTGCATTGTAATGCAGATGCACACCTGGATCCAGATGTGTGAAGGCAATTCCTGATCTAGCAAGGCAAAGTGCTTCAGCGCAATGATGTCTGTTCCTCACTTAGGGTGACTAAGGCTACAGTCCTAAGAAAACTTTTCTGGGAGTAAGCCCCAATGAATAACATGAGACTTACTTCACAGTAGACCTGCTCAGAATCACTCCCAAGGTATAGCAAAGCAAAGATGATGAAACTGAGTTTCCCTGATGTTGGCTGAACAAGTAACATATTCACTGTGAGCATATCTCTCAACCAGCTGGGCTCCGAAGCAGCTTCATAGCAGGAAAAAAGGTGTACAATTTATATGCTGTGCCTATATGCATCATTCAACATGCCTTGTTATATTTGGTATACTTTACTAAATACAACATCAGTTTACCCTCTTTAGATACAAAGCAGGTAACTGACCTCAGTTAAAGAGTATATTGATAATTGAAGGAGGGAAAATCTGGTTTCCAAATGGAGAATGTCTCTTGTGGAGAAAAGCTACTGAGAGATATGTTTGTAGGAGCTGTAGCCCTTTTATATCCAGAGTTATACTGCTGTTGTTTTTCTCAGCACACAAGTGTGTTATGCATATCCGCACACGGCACTTATGAAGGCTGAGCTTACCTTGTGATAAGATCAGCTTTCTAATCTTTTGCTAAATCGAGATCACAAAAGAAAGAAGGAGACAGTGAGAGACAGAGAGAGAGAGAGAGAGAGAAAGAAAGAAAAGAGATGGAGAGAAAGAGACAGAGAGAAAGAGAACAAATTCACATTCCAATCCAGTCACATCTGGCTTTAAACAAAAAAGAAAAGAGAATCTTAAAACAATAAAATACAGGCTAAAAATGCTTTGGCCATGAGATCATTCTCTGTCACCCATCATCTCACACTGCTGTCCTGATGAAAATTCGAATCCAGCGGCACCTTTAAGACCAACAAAGTTTCATTCAAGTTATAAGCTTTCGTGTGCACGCACACTTTCTCAGACACATTGAAATGGAAGTTACCAGTCCATACATATAGGTAGAGGTGTGAGCAGTAAATTAGCATACAGCATGCAGCAAGAACCAAACAGGAATAACAAGCTTAGTTTATACGGTCACCATTTGTTTGGATTTAATTCCAGGGAAAAACATAGAGAAGCAACTAAATATATCAGAATTGGAGATTGATGTGTAAATGTAGCCTTCTTAATTGTGAGATGCTGAGAGTCATTAACTGATACCCCACCATCCATTTCCTCTCAAGCATGGAGGTAACTAACAGCATCCTTTTCTGTTCCTGAGGTTCCTTTGCAATAAAACAGCTACTTTGAGTTCACCTACTGAATGTCCGGGAAGGTTGTTCTCCTACAGGTTTCTCAGTCTTGTGATTCTTAATGTCAGATTTGTATCCATTTATCTTTTGGCTCAGAGTTTGATCTGTTTGCCCTATGTAGAGAATGGAAGGGCATTGTTGGAATAGACTGGAAAGGAAAATTGCTGAATCACAAGTTATTACAACACTCAGAACAAAAATTCCCTGGACTAAACAGGGATATTGGTTTCTTATCTCACTACATCTGCATTCTCACTAAGAGGGACCATACATCCTCTTTATTTCATTGTATTTCTTATTTGGATTAGTAGATTGGAATAGTGATTGTAATGTAATGCAAAGAATAGTAGAATGTAATGTAATTTGGAATGGTAGACTGGAATGTATTTCTCTGGTCTGGTGACAGAGGAGACATAACACTGTACAACTAAACACCCCACCTTAAAGAAAAAAATGCTGTTAGTTACCTCCATGCTTGAGAGGAGACGGATGGCAGGGTCTCAGTTAATGACTCTCAGTATTCCACAATTAAGAAGGCTACATTTACTCATCAATCTCCAATTTTGATATATTTAGTTGCTTCACTATGTTTTTTTCCTGAAATTAAATCCAAACAAATGGTGACCATATAAACTAAGCTTGTTATTCCAGTTTGGTCCTTGCATCTGTTAAAAACCTTCATTATGTTGTATGCTAATTTGCTGCCCACCCTATATGTATGAATTGGTTAACTTCCATTTCAATGTATCTGAAGAAGCATGTGTTTGGCATCCACACAAAAGCTTATACCTTGAATAAAACTTTGTTGGTTTTAAAGGTGCCACTGAGCTTGAATTTTGTTCTTTTGCTTCAGACCAACACGGCTACTCACCTGAATCTGTTGTCCTGATGGTTACCAGACCAACCACACAATCTAAAACCATAAATCACATCAGACAAAACCAGATTCACATCATCCACAGACTGGTGCTGAACAGATGCATGCAGTGTTCATGTACTTGAACAATAAATAAACAGAAGTAAACCTTCTTGGGCAGAATTATTGTTTTCCCACTTGAGTGTCAGATGGCAAATGACTCAGAGGGAAAGTGGCTAAGCCAAGAACAGGAAACATTCTTGCATGTTGGTAAATGGCAGTTGCGCCACCCAAGTTATTCCGCAAGTGGAACAGCACTACTGAGCTTCATGGAGCAATGGATGACAACAAAGCCTTCTATGAAATGAGCTTCCCTGATTGTGTCACACAAACCTGCCTTGGGACAGTGGCCAGTTTAACTGTAGCAGCATGATAGTTGCTTGTTCTCAGAAGCCATTTGGAGGCAGCAGCAGGTCGGCCAACTTAAACCATGCCACTGCAAACCAAAAATGTTGGTACCCAGCCTTGTCTCCAAGATGCTCAGAAAAACTCGGCAACTTAGAATTGACATTTTAGTTAAGTTACAACCTGGAGAATATGCATATAGCTTTAAAGTCCCTGACTCAGAGGAAGAGGGATAGCTGTGATCTCTCCCGCTTAATCACAACTCCTTTTACCTGTGCCTGCCTAATGTAACAAGCAAGGCTCGAGGTGTGATGATGGGCAGAGCGATAGCTGGATGGGAACGGTAATGGCTGCCTGTTGCTCTGCTTCATCAGAAAATATGAGGCTACAGGCTCATTCTCTGGATTGCAATCCCATAACCCAGAGGTCGTTTATGCTAAAAGGGAGAAACCTTCCAAAGGCTATAGAGTGAGCTTCATAACGTCAAGGGAACTGGCTTTTCCACTCCAGTCATGGCTACAAACCGGTTTTCATATGAGATAGCCTCTATGCTGTAGCACTGAAAGTGGCCACCACATCACCACTTTTATCTTTCCTGGA